GCAACTAGTAATGAGGGCGTATAAACAGGCCCACAAAACTAAAAGTTCACCACCTCATTTTATGGCTTCACCACTTTCAGGAACCGTCATATGTGTGGGAGCTCTTTAAGTCGGACTTTCGTGCAAAATGTTAGCGTTAGGCGCGGAGAGAGGGAGACTATTAAAAATTTTATAGAGGTTTCGCCGTACTGTAACCAACCTGACACTCGGTCGGCGCTCGTACCAGCGGGGCGGCACGAACAGCCGACGCAAACCTAATGCGAGTAGTGTTGTTCCGTAGCAATCCATGTTGCGGTCTCTGACATTCGAAAGCCGAAAGGGCCTTTTTAACCATTTTCGGCCGATAATTTTCGGTGGCCGAATATTCGGTGCATCCCTAGTTTATTTATTGTAAAAGCAATTGGGCTATTTTAATCTCACACACACACACACTTAGCTGCGGAATCCGGTTAGTTTCAAGCACCAAACATTTTTCCGGCTAGAGCAAAAGCACCGCATACGTCACGCTTACGTCGAGGCGGGGGCAGGGGCAGGGGGAGTCGGAATCGTCAATCGTTGAGGTTGATGATGATGATTGTCAAGAAGTCTTGAATGTGGCATGTAAAGACTGTAAAGTTGGTAGTAAAGTCGTCCCATTTCTTCCATTTCGTTTCGACAGAGCAAAACCAAAACGAGTAGCGCTTCAATACAAATAGGCCATTGTTGTTGTTGTCGAGGTGAGCTGTGAGGGGTTTCCACGCGGTTTGGCTTGATGAAGCAGGCACGCAAACAGTTACGTCATGACGCAAACGATGACACAATAACGCAGCACCAGTCGGACTCTGGGCGGTGTGAAAAGTATGTATAATGTACAAGGTACAAAACTACAATTTGAGTCGATCGTGAGAGTTTTTTTTTAAATGTGCTCATCTATGCTGTAAATCAGTATTTGTGGTGCAAAACGTTGATTTAAAAGTATTTGAAGGTGTCTAACAGCATCCTACAGAGCGCGTCCAATGTTTGATCTAATTAATGAGGGAACAAAGGAGTGATATCAGACACAGCAAGAGTGAGCTATTGCTTCCAATTGTGCAGCTGGAGTGTCTGTAGGAAGAGGAGAGAGGGGGAAGAAACGTAGCCTTTAATTCTGCTGAATAATGATGATGCCTGCAGGTCTATACATTAAAGCATTACCAGCTGTCATCTTGGCAAAGTGCAGCTCAGGATCTAGCCAAATCATAAATCTGCAACACCTATTGGCGGTAATGAATGAAGCATTATGAAGAGAGATGTGTCTGAAGAAGAAAATGAATGGCAGCTGGCTGACTGACAGCCGTGTTGTAGCCCCCGATTTGTTTCAGAACACAGTTTTTATTCTCAATAGCCTTGCATTTTGATTAAAGATCACTTTGTCAATGAAAGCATGACACCAAACGTAAGTCAGATATATTTAAAGCTATATATTTATTGGTAAAAAAAATGCTGTGTGGTTCTTCTGAAGAAGCTCTTGAGGTATTGACCAAATATGGAACATATTAAGCTCTAATATAATCTATTATTTATTTTGCTGTTGTTATAGACTCAACTTGCACATACTTTTCCTAAAGAATAAATAATAGCACCAAAACATGTATGTCTCTAATCCATAAATATTATGATTTCATATTTTTATTGGGGCTTGAATGTTTAACGTTTTTAGCATTATATGGTGACTGTTTGGCAGATTTGCAGATCTGTTTTTGTAGAAAATGTAATAAAAACAGTTTAGAAAATCCTTTTCTTTTTACCTGCCAATACCAGAGCTGAATTCAGAATCTTTCCTATGTCTTAGTTTAAGAACAATACGTGTTCATCTACAAATCCTACTTTATATTTTTGTATAGTGCATCAGTTTTCACACAAGGTTACTCTTTGCATAAATAGTCTGTAGCACAAACATTTTTCATTCTCAAAGGTCTTAACAATGTTTAGAATACACAAATAGAGTGACATCTACTGTGGTTGTATTTTAGAGGTAGCAAAACAGCATTCAAACTTAATTAATTAACATTTAGGGGAATTAAACCGGCCCTATTGTGCTTTTTGGGTCTCCCTTCAGTGTAGTGTGCTATAGGTTTTGGTAAATGTAAATAGTCTGCTGACTAAAATCCCAGAGATCCCTCCAGAGTGGGGACATCACTGTAATACTAGCAATTCTATTGGCGAGCGCTCCAAACAAATAAGACCTCTAAAAGCTGTTAACCAATCACAAAAGAGCCGGCCAGCTAACCAATCATATGGGTCTGGATAAACTTTTGTAGCCCTTGTTCCAGCGAAGGAGAAAATTCAGTAGTCAAAAAGTCCAGATAGTCCACTTGTAACGCTTTTAAGATACTTAGGCTACATATCAGCTGAAAGAGACAGACCTTAATGCCAGGTCAGAATCCAGCCTGGTGGGGCCGAGATAGTAATATCCCCGAGGGCTAACGGCTGATGAATTTCACAACATTTCTGGACCACTCATGAATCAAGTCTGCACCTCCAAGAGCTTACGTCCTCCCATAAAACTCAATACCAAACAACAGCCTGAGGACAATAGACTGCTCAAGTGAATCTCAACAACTAGGGCAACACAAGAACACTTGGAAAATAAATTACTGCAACACTTTCTTCATTACAGAGAAAGCCAACCAACAAAGACAACATTGCAGCTTCTGGGGAGTTCCGTTGTGTCCCCCATTTTGGTCTTTGGTGTTATTTTTCTGTTATTTTGGTAGATAAGCGACCAGACATTTCAGATTGTGTTCAGCTTTTTTCATCACGACCAGGAAATGTTTCCCACAATCAAAGAGCAACACAGAAGAAAAATCAATCCCAGGTAAGGGAAAGATTCATTCCTCCTCAACAGCCGCAATAGATCTCAGCCAGCAACAAGTCAATTTTTGTTGTGTGAGAAATGATAAAGCTGTGGACTAGACTTAACAGGTTTTTCAGTAAGTAAATGGCTACATTTTATCACAGTGACTCTGAAAATTCCTACAATTGTGGGTTTTTATGCGTTTCGTTAGATTTACTTTAACATTTATCATTTTAAAACCAGACTCACTGTGATGTGGACTTCAAAAACCATTAACTTCTTGGGGAAATGGCTGGCTTCCCTAATGCTATGTGTAAAAGACCTGAAGTTAATGAGCTAAATCATCAAGATAGTCTCTTAACTGGACATGAGGAAATCAACTAAACATCAGAGGAAGTATGTTCTCCCACATTAGAGACAGTAGGTTTAGTCCTCTGGAAAAAGGAAGAGGGTACAGAAAAGGATTGGATACAGTGTCAGAGTCGGAACCCCATGAATTCCTCTGAAATTTGCTCAGTGGCGCATGAAGCCAAAAGCGGATCGAGTGGAGATTAAAAACAAAGTGTGTATTTTAATGTGACTCACAGAAACATGGCTGCACTAGGATCAACACCAATGTTTCCATCAATTGCAGCCGGACTGTTCGGCAAACGTATCCATCTCATCCAACATTTCCTTCCACAAGGATTCCATCAACTATGTTTTTAATGTTCTCTTTGTTGGCTGTTGTGAACGACAAGTATTGCGGCAAGAGTGTTACCATGCCTTTACCATGAGCCTGAGTGTTCAGAGGGTCTCTGTGCTGTGGAAGACATCCTGCCTCGATCCTGTGTGAGAGGTGACGTTGTTTCCCAGAGGTTATAAGGACTCTTATTGCACACTTTTACTTCAACTTATGTTTACTGTATACAAACAATTATTTGATTCTAATATGGTGTAACTTTCCTGAAACCTAATTTTGCATGGGATAAATGTTTGTATTTTATTGATTGATGATTGGTTGATTTTCCATTAAGGATTCAAATCGCCGTTGCAAGTGCTCAATAAAGGCTGACGGTAAGCCATCATTGATGACTTGTTGTTGGAGGGTTTTATTACACAATTCCACTTCCCGCTTATTGGTGTGAGATAATATTGCGGACCCTCAACCGAACAGAGTCAAAGTAGGTAGGGAGAGTTTTAGGTGCCCGATTGGAATTGGGCCTATGACAGGGAGCATGGGAATGGAAAATAAAAAGAGGAAGCGTGTGTGGGCGTTTGTAAAGGAATCAGATGCCATGTGCTGTAGAGTGACTCAGCCCCGGATAGTTGGCATGACCAAACGGAACAGGGCAAGAGACTGGTAGAGTCCCTAGAAACACGGCCAACAGGAGATCACACTTTACACCTTTAAAATTGTGCCATTGTGCACTTTCAGTATGTTCTGCTAGTACGGGACAAACAAGGAAGAAAAGGTTGTGCTAGTTGAAGATACATTCTTAAATATAGCATAATACTGAAGAACCCTTTATTTCCAAGTGGTTTTAAAGGAAAATATCAAAAGGAATTTGATCCTCTTGCTTTTCTTAAGTCAACACTCCTCCAAGTATGCCTGTTGCATTAATTAATTCAGGATATGCACTGTTCCACAGCACTGCAAATGCAAATAAACACAAGAGAAAATAAATAACATGTTTTTAGTATGTAAGACAGCAGAACAATGTAACATTAGAAAATAAGAAACCAAGAAATGTAGAATAAAAACACAATATGCACTTTCTCTTTGTAGTAGCACTATATTCCTGCTGGTCATCCCCAATGTTTGGAAATATAACAGTAATCTGATTGACATCTTTCTTTATCTAACTGTAAAGGAATACAGTTACTCTTTTCCTAATTATGTATTCCTGGTACATGTAATCCATTACTCCCCAAGACTGGATATAACCCAGAATCTTGTTTTTATTTGTTAAAAAACTATCTTTCTGAATATACTGGGCTTTGTACTTCAACAACTGAGGAATCAAACAGTGAGGAACATCAACACATGTAGATTACATCTTCTTATCACAACTTTTTTGTCAAAATGCCATTTTGTTGGTCCCCGATATGTGATTTTGTGGAAGTGATGCAAAATGGCCCATAATGTTGGTGCTGAGATCTTAACACGCGGTTATACATGCTGCTGCGATACGGAGGACATTTGTTTTGCACTTCAGACTTCCTGATGTGTAAAATTATAGAACACATTCATCCCTTCATGTGCGAAATATTACGATAGTTGAAAGCATGACTCTAAAAAATAATCATTCAGCTAATTCTGTCCTATTTCAAACAGCAGCAGTTATATTAAAGAGCAACTTCCAGGTTAAAGACACCTGTGAATAAATGTGTAGGAAAATGATGAATACACTAGATTTTCAAAAAAATATACAGAAATATACACTACAGTGACATCTGGCTTGATGGAAAGCAGGTGTGTAGTCGGGGAGGGTGCACAGCTGATTGCAACAGGTGAGTGGAGGTTGAGCCGGGAGCCAGGAGTGACAGCCACCACGCACACACAAACAACATAGACGGGGGGAAACAAACAAACACAAAGGAGACGGCTGGAGCAGTACAGCCACCAAAGCGTTACCTAATGCAACTCCACACTATGTCTTACGGTGCCGTGTACCGGAGGGTGAGAGAGAGAGAGCAGCGAAGGGGGGGGGGAGAGAGAAGTAATACGGTTTCCTGATAAAGCTGTGGAGAGTATGTGCTGCAGGGAGGTGGATGCACAACGCACCCAGGAACGAACGCTAGCTCCGGTCCTTTTTACTGTGGACTCGATTTCCTGACAGGCTGGTATTTGTGCAACCTGCACAAACACTGCACCATGATTACAAATGGTGAAATACAATGTAAAACTACCGAAAAATACCAGCTCACTAAAACACAACCGCTCAACTCAACGCAACTACTAACTATACCCGCGGTCAGAGAGCGGAGATGTTTACACTTTGTTATGTAATATGACGCGTTTGACGTATGACCTTAAAAAAAAGCCGTTTTTAAGAGCAGAGCTCAAAATTGCTCCTTTCCCTCTGAATTCCTGCCCTTATGTCTCGTAAAACATATCAAATCCTGCATTCACTTTTTTAATTGTAATTTTCAAGCAAGTTTAAGCATAAATGTAGAAAAAAAAAAAACCTGCAAGATGCTCTTTAATATCACAAAGTACATTCTCAGAACTAGTATCCATGGTCCACCTCAGCAGGGGCATAAATCAGCATAAAAAGAGATGAATGTAACTAGAGATTCATATCGTGGACGGATTGAAAGACACTTGGTTCCAATGCATTTATTCATTTAATACTTTGTTCAGGCTTTTCTAGCAATTTCATCCCAATCTTGCTTGCAAGGCCGACATTCAGATTTGTATCTGCTTTCTCGTTCCTTCGCCACAGAAAGTGATTACGTTTCATGCTACGTTTAATAAATGTCTCAATAAACTAAAACAGATTCTGTCAGGAGAAAAGTGGCATGAATCAATTTTGGCTAGATCCTTTCCCCCCTTCCCCTCCTCTTTGCTGCAGCCCACTAATCAACTACGACCATTTCACTGTTGACAACAAAGACGTTCATCAGACAGTTCTTCTCTTCTGTATGAGACAACACTTTGAGCAACAGCCACCTTGCCTGCTGCAATCACACCCTTCAGTGAAACATAAGATGTGGTGAGTCTGTGGAGAGAAACTGCAAAAGGGGACAAAAGCAGTGATGGATGCAAACACTGAGATCTACCTCTATTTAGAGGAAACTGAATGAAGTCGCATCGGCAAACAATAGGAAAAAAGATTCTAGTATAACCATGCCTGTGATGCTATAAAGCCACTCAGTCCTTTACAGAACGCATATAAAGGGCTTGTGCTGTTGGAAGGCCAAGCTGTTCTGAGGAGGTCATAAAAATGTTATCATGGCAAAAGCCTTTATCTACAAAAATTACGATCCCATGATTTATAATTAGCCAGGACCGGCTGCAGGAAGCTTCCAACAGAAGAAAAGAAAAAAGAAAATCCGCACAAAATGCAAGCAGTGGTGAGTGCAAACAGAAAAGTATACCGGTACTCAACAAAACTCTTCGTTTTTGCATAAGCATAACTCCTTAATATACAGCAGAGTAATACAAATGGAAAGGCATATTTTAGCTGACTTTACTAAGTTGATATAAATCTAACTGATTGTGTAAAATATTAGGGAATCACAATATTAGATTTTTTTGCCAAGATGCCAATATGTTCCAACATGTAACTTATTCTGGCGTTTATGATGCAACACTGATACACTCAGATATTTTTTTCTGCCTGATTGCAGAAGACAAAGTCTCTCCTGTAGTGGAATTAATATACAGACATATAATACAGCTCTGGAAAAATGTAAGGGACCATTCCACATTTTTTTATCTCAATCCCTACACGTATGGCAGCCATTCCATTCCAGTGTCTATTGCATTCCAACACAGCGAAATGTTGTCAGTAGATATTTTACTCAAACACTATGAATATTAAAAACCAGAGAAACTGATAATTTTGCAGTGGTCTCTGAATTTTTTTCAGAGCTGTGTATTGCTTTTCAAAATGTACATTGCTTCTTTATGGAATGCCTCCATTGGACTCAATGTTTTACTTCCTTATCATAATGACATCACTATAAAACACTTGCGTTTCTATTGGCTAGTGATAGGCTAAGTGGCGGGACATATCTAAACGGTTGACCAATCACAACAGAGCCGGCCAGCTAACCAATCAGAGCAGACTGGGCTCTGGTTTCAGACAGAGGGTGAAAAGAGGTGCTGCAGCAGCACAGGCAGCATGAGAAAAATAAAGAGCTTTTTGAACATTAAAGCATGGAGACATGTCACAGTAGAGAGAAAAAGAAATATGAACCCTGAAAATGAGCATATGTCCTCTTTAAGGGTCCAGGCCTCATACAAAATGTAGATGAAAGATTGTACGTTTAACTCTGTAGCTTCCAAGTGTAATTCCTATGTTGTATGTTAAAGGTCCCATGTCATGGCCATTTCTACTGATCATAATGCTTTGTTGAGGTCTACTAGAATAGATTTACATTGTTCAATGTTCCAAAATCACATCTGTATATGTGTATTCACTCTCTGTCCTACACCTTTCTTCATCTGAGAGCTACTTTGAAAAAATGAAAGTGGCCAAGAGCTACTTGCATCACATCACTTACATTTCTTCACATAGCACTCATCAGTTGAATTAAGCTATACTTTTGTACACGTGTGAAATTGCAATACCTAAAGCTTATCAAAGATCTTGACTTAACATCAAGTTCCAAGAAAACGAAAATGTCGAACATATTATTATCAAGGCCCACATAGTGAGTACTTCACTGAAAATTCACATACAATCCTTTATCACTACCTTACAAGCATCTTATGGCACATGTGTAAAATAAGTGCATTCACTCTTTTTCACAGTTAGTGAGATGACTGGCGCTGCATGGAGTCCACCATAGAGGTGTATGCTGGAGTGTACCCACTTAGGTTCACTCTAATAGAGTCATTTAAATGTTCATCAGTCAGTCTTGTTCTGCATTTAGATGTCATGACATTCATGTCAGAAAAAGCTGCTTCACAAAGGCATGTAGAACCAGATAAAGCAGATATTTCCAGTGCTGCTTGGTGAATGTTCGTATACTTTTCTACAAGGCTCCAGAAATGTTGTGAGTTTTGCTGAGACTTCAGCTGAACATTATTTTGGAGATGTCTAACCTCCATCTCGGTAGGATTGACACTGAACAGTTCAGCCATCTTTTTCTTCTTCGTCTTGACATGAAATTACAAACAGACAACAGGAGTATTTACAGCATATAAACAAAAATACTGAATGTGGGTTCGCACTTACATTCTCTGTCTAACTGTTACATAAATCCCATGAATGTATGAGAGTAAGTTAGCTTCATCATCTCAATCAGTGATTAAGTGAATAATAAAGTTTCTATCGGGTCACTATCAGCCTGTCACTCATTATTTTCAGGGAGGGGGCGGGGTTTGGAGGAACAGAGGAAACGGTGATTGCGGAAGCTTTTTCCTCCTGCCTTCACAAACGTATCTATCTTTATATACAGTCTATGGTATTTATCAACTGAAAATAGCAAGAGGACATTCATACTCTGCAATCCAAGACTTGATTAAATCCACCAAAAACCTGACGTGACGATAACGAGTGTTTTTCAAAAAAACACAAATCCCTGTGTGTCTCTGTGCCGCAGCGACACGGACTGATTCAGAGCGGTCATTCTGCTGTTGGTTCTGGACCGGTGTTGGTGGAGAAAGCAGACTGCTCCGTGTGTGGTGTCGCTGTGCCGCTGTCACATCTGTTCCTTGATCACTGCGTCACCGACCAATTTGATATTCGTGTCACAGAAAACATTCAAACACAAAAAAACGTTATTGTCCAGCAGTGGCCGAAAAATTAAGAAGCAACGTTATTACGCTATAATCGATAATCGAGCGGTGAGCTACTGAAAAGCTGCCCGCGAGCTACCGGTAGCTCGCGATCGACGTGTTGAAAAACCCTGCACTAATCTATGGGTGGGGATAATCGCAGAGGTACAGGCTTGTAAAAGCAAAAGCAGAGAAGATCTCTGGGCTCTGAAATCATGTTTCTTTACCTCGGTTGATTACATTACTTTTGTATTTGCATACATATAGATATATACTTTATTCATCCAAAAATTGGGAAATTATGTTATTGGAATATATACCGTAATTTTCGTACTATAAGGCGCACCTGAATATAAGCCGCAGCTGCTAAATTGAATGATGTGTACATATATAAGCCGCACTGGAGTATAAGCCGCAGGTGTTTTAATGTTTAATTATCATATGTAAGGGTTCGTGCACAGAGGGGATTGTCGGGAAAGAGATGGCTGTTTGAGGAAGCTCCCATTTATTAACATTTCAACAAACAAGTTGCATATTTGCATAACGTATTCAAGTGTTACCATTTAGTGCAATAGTAGCTACAGAACATATGCTGTGTAAACTGTACTGTATCACATAGCGTTTCAGACACACAAACTTTTCAACTTTCAAACTTAAACGGTGCGCTCCCAGCGCACGTACCGGCAGTGATCTACAGCAGTGGTTTTCAACCAGTGGTACGGGGACAAACTGTCTCGCTCTCGTAATGTCTGTCTGTCTTGCTCTCGTTCTGTCTCTCGTACCACTCTCGGTTCCACTTTTACTTTTGCGCGCTACCTGTCTCACTCTTTTCCGGCCTCCAGCTTTTCCTGCTGGAACCCGCCGCTTAAAGTTGGGGGTCCGCGGACCGGCCATAGAGCCCATAGAGTTAAAGGTGGTGGCCGTGAGCTGTACAAATCCATAGATTAGCCGCACCGTTATATAAGCCGCAGCGTCGAAAAATGGGGAAAGATTAGCCGCACCGTTATATAAGCCGCAGCGTCGAAAAATGGGAAAAAAGGCGCGGCTTATAGTCCGAAAATTACGGTAATTACATGTATATGCAGTTCATACATCAGTGGCAACTTCATTGGTATCTATACAATCCAATACAACTGTTCTGCTTTAAAGCTTACTTTCCTGATTCCCCAAATTCCTAGTTGTTTTTTTTAAATGTCATGGAAGTGTTCATTAAATCAATTGTTAAGCATTGAGGTCATAGTTGGTAGTGGTGCTGCACTGGACTGCATTATCATATGGCGCTCCTACTATTCTTCCTTCCTCATTTATAAATATAGAGGGAAAAAAACTAGCACGATAAAAATAATTTAGTCCAGTTCAACAACACTGCAATCATTTTATTTGTGACAATATCAACAAATAGGAGCTATTTGGCAGAAATGGATTCTTTATCGAAGTATTGCAATTGCAATTCCAAGCGCTTTCGTCAAAATCTACTCTTCAAACCTTGTAAACACCACACTAAAACTCAATTGTTTTCAAGGCTTTCTAGCAACCAACGAGCCTTGAACATACAGTAGGTTCACTTGAGGATCACATGCCTACAAACATCCCCCTTCCCTGCACATTATCTGCATTTAATGTCCTGTTTTTGTTTCTACCAGTAGGTGTCCCTCTTGTTCAGAGTCTGAGCTGATCCCATTAACCCTGAGGAGCTGAAAGGTGTCCGACTGAGATGTACAAACACTGTCAGGGGACTTCTGACGGATGTCCTGAAATGTGACAAACCTTTCCTCTTCATCAAACAGGGAGACCATCTGGATTCTGAAATTACTTTCAACCATCTATTCTAGCTGTGTACGTGCAGCAGAGATTTGGAAGGTCATCTCCTCTGAATTTCATGTGCTAAAAGATGCATGTCATTGTTAGACCTATATATTCAATCATACTTCTGCTTCTCTGCCCTTCTGACTTGTATGGTTTGTCACTGACAAGCTTTGTTCCTCCTGAAAGTGACTACAACTGGATTCAACAACCTTAATGTAGGAGTGAAAATACTTGAAACCAGAGGTGACATTCACACATTTGTTGACAGATCCCTCAGTGACGCATGGGTTTCTCAGACACCAAAACATGCTCTCTTGCACAGGTCAGACTCACCTCTTACGTCTGTGTCTCTTTAGCAGGGCTCATGCACTTTATTTGTGAGAAGCTGCAGCCAGTAAGCAGCAGGGAGGCATGCTGTCTCTACAGCTTGTTGTAAATTACATTTTAAATATTTAACTCATAACCAAACACACACAGGTTCACACCCTGAAGTCAAACATATGTCCATCAACAACCATGTTCTTTGTTAAATAGCCCTGGAGTTAGGCTGCAAACTCTAAACCTGTTGACTCATTTCAAGTCACTCGGCATAAAAAAAAAAATACTAAAATGTAAAATAATCTACCACAAATATGAATAACCAGGGGCATACTAGGTCATTATGTCATCCCGCGTCAGGGCAGCATACTGTATGTTAAATTAAGGAGCAATTGATTGGAGAATAGAAGTATGGCACAGATTAGCCTTACACTGATATAAAAAATGGGCAAAATCACAATGGATGATTCTAAATTGCTGCTGTACAGACAGAGAAATTGTTTTTTTAAATATTTATTTAAAAAACCTGGCACTTACATTACCCACAATGCAACTTAAACACAGTGGAAGGGGGAAATATTTGGTTGTGTCATGCTAGTAGAGGCTAATATGGCCTTAAACGAAAAGGGCTTTGCCAAAATAATTTAGCAAGTTTCCTTGAATTCCATCTGTGAAAATCAGGGGGAAATTATGTGTTTGTTGTGAAGTACGCCTTTACCACATGTTCTAACTAGGACTGTCACATAATACAGCTGAACAAAAAAGGAACTTAGAAATATGATCAGGACAATCTATTTGTCACCTGTCAATTCAAGCCACAAACATAGGAGGAAAAAAACTATTAGACTTAGAACATATATAACCAGAATTATTTTTCTTCTCACTCGCCTCTCAGGACTTCTGTATCTGACTCAATCAAATGAGGCAATTTATCAGATTTTGTACAGCCTTAAAAGACTTTTTCTCATGCAGCAGTAATCCCCAAAACCTAAATACAGACTGTGATGGTGTAAGTCGGTGGATAGTCCTTTTTGACACAGACAAACACATGTAGCTCACCAAGTTGCAGATACCGGCACGTTCCACCTTGCTGACTCCGGACAGGTCAGTCTTGAAGACGTTCATCTTCTCCACCAGGGTGATGAGAGCCGTCTCTGTGGCCTCACCCACCTTCTCATACACCCCTTTGGCCTGCGGGAGAAAAACATGCCAACTGTTTTATAGAAGCCAAGTTATACAGTAAGCATTTAGGATTGATAGGTTGTTTACTTCTGCCTCCACACATGTTAAGTCCTACATGCAAAGTGTTTTAAAATGTAGGTGAGATGAACCAGGATCAATCATCGTTTGTTTCTGAGATGCGGCAATAAACCACTCATGTTTAAACAAGTTTTGATCTGCCACTAACTTACTTTATTCAAAATAGTACAACATTGGTGACAAAATTACCCCTATAGAACAGAAACAACGAGTGTGGGGGAATGCATGGAAGTTGAGAAGAGCCTTATCACTCCTCAGCATAATTACCATGATACCATGGTGATGACTAGGAGGTGAAAAAAGCACTTCAAAAGCAGAGAGAAAGAATATCTAAAAATAAAAGAGAAACAGCTTTGCAGACTATCTACATGCACAAAAACCTATATAAAACGACAACAGAAAGGGAAAAACCCCTAAGCATAACAAATGACATTTTTGAAGTTTTCTTTTTAATCATTGGGCTGGTTAATGCTTATTTGATTAATTTCTTTAAAATCCAACCTTACCTCCTATAATAAGTACATAATAAAGCGAATCGCCAAAATACAATCAATTACACCCTTAAAGTTCCCATGTCATGGCCATTTCTACTGATCACAATTCCATTGTTGAGGTATACTAAAATAGATTTATATTGTGCAATTTTCCAAACTCACGTATTCACTCTTTTTCCAAAGGGATGCACAATGGCTTAAAAATGTGCTACAATTATCCATGTGTGTGTTTTATGTCAATTACCTCATTGTAGTCCAGTGAAGAGTCATTGCACATTGAGCACACGGTGGCCAACTCCAAAAGTCCATCAAAGTCTCCGCACTGGACGGGCTTGTCTCCTTTCAGTCTGGGAGGGAGGAACACACACACGTCACTCACAACAGCAAAACACAGGGGAGAAACACTTCACACTTCGCTACACATCAGACACAATACCCTAATCAATATTTATGAGTGGGGAAGACAGTAAGTTGTTTAGCATTCCAAAGTTGCCTTCTTGGTTGTACAGTAGTAAACTGTGTGTGTGTGTGTGTGTGTGTGTGTGTGTGTGTGTGTGTGTGTGTGTGTGTGTGTGTGTGTGTGTGTGTGTGTGTGGACAAGCAGTGCTGATTGCATGACGACCATGGATCTCTTCCCAGTAAAGACTGCAACTGTTGCTAGCGAGGCTCCCACACAGTAACCCACACTGTGCTGTTATGAAATCGACAGGTTCATGCAGAGTCACAATGCTGTACTCGAGCAAACGGCAAAATAAACAACATGCATATACAATGACCTGTGGAACCCTTCTCCTACATAATAACCAGCTACCTACCTGTAACACTCCACTGCTTCTATTATTTTAAAAGTATTATTATCATATGTATTCTGATATAACACATAATTGAAAATCTGACGCTCTCTAAAACATTTAAAGTGACTGTCATTGTTCCCTTTGGTTATATGAAACCATAATAACATCTAGGATTACTCACTGTGTCCCTGGTCACTGCTGAAATTGCCATAGCAACAAATAAAGCACAGCTAAACACATTTTTTGGTAATCATTAGCACTGATGTTACAAATCTTACTCCACAGATCACATTTCAGTTTGTCAAAATATGTATCTTGTTTTGAAAAAGCATCAGGCTTTCATAAAAAGGATGACGGGAGATGACCTTCTGAGTTTAGTAGTGTAAATTGGCTTTGGTAACATTTGAAAAGTAAACACATATTTTTCACATAATGAGGTTGACAGACTATTACATGAAGTAATACTTGTTGAAGCTGTGACACTCACATTTGTCCCTCAGGGGCATATGTAGATCCAGTTATATTGAACTCATGGAGGCTGCAGCTTGTATCTTCCACCTTGTCTGCAACGAACATCTGGAGAGGAGAAACAAAAGGCGTTATAGTTAGATGATTATACAAAGCTTCAGAGCAGGTAGTGAAATAGTCAAAGTCCTGGTATGGTAAAGGACTCAATAACTATTTACTATAAAAGGAAACTTTTCCCTTGTTGTATAAACTTCACCTCAAATTGAGAGCAAGTGAGACGATATGACTTTTGCTTTGGACACAAGGGATAACTTTGGAATATAAGTAGGGGTGCACCGAATGGGAAATTCTTGGCCGAAACCGATACCGAAAATAGGAAACAGTTGGCCGAAAACCGAATGCCGAAAGGCCGAAAATGATTAATAGAAATATATAATGTATACATTTTTTACCAATGTTGTTCAGCTGCCTGATTATGGAAAGATAGATTATAACTTAACTTAAATAATAATCACTATTATGGGTCCATAAAACATTTATTCAGCACTTTTGAATGCATACAGTACATTAATTCCAAGTCAAGTGCATTTTCTTTTCTCTGTAGGATAACTACAACAAAGTGCATTCAGAACAAAGCCAAGGTGCTTTAAAACTACATAAACATCTAGGCCAGTAGGCCTACAACAAAATAGTGTAAATAAAGACTAACAGCCAGGCCTTCAACAACAACAAATGCACCTATAAGTGCATGCATACAAATGTGCAAACTGGATAAATCCACATGAATGTAACTATTTACAAATGAAATTACAATTGAATGTCAAGAATCTGTAAATAAGGCTGTCTGTCCTCATAAGCAAAGTAGTAAACATTGTATAAAGATACATAAAGTGAAAACTGGATACAAAATCCACAATCAATTACAAATTAAATTACAATTTCAAGAATCTGCAAATAAGGTGGTCTGTCCTCATGAGCAATGTAAACAACATTGTATCATTTAGATACCGAAAGTACAATATATTGAACACTGTGCTGCTGTCATTTCCCCCTAATGATAACCTGAGATGGTGAATTATAACTCACAATGAAAATTGTTCAGGAAAGTGGGTATAGAGTAGACATGTAGAACTAGATAAGCTTATGATAAGCCAGCCTTGTCTACTTATTAAGGAAAAGTGGGAGGTTCTTTTTAATGAACATTAGCTTCTCTGCTTTATCAGCCATAAGTCTGTTCCTCTTCTCATCAAGCACATGAGAGGCAGCGCTGAACAGTCTCTCGCTGTCAGTGCTTGTGATTTGATCTTACTCCGCATATTTGTCGGGGTGTTTTGATTTCAAGTGGTGGAGTAATGCCGAAGTGGTGAAAGTCTTTGCAGTTACACCCCCTCGAGAAATGTCAGCTGAACACGTTTTACAAATCGCAATCCGCGCCTCTTTCTCTGATATTTTTAAATATCTCCAAGCGGCAGACATGTTGGCTGTGAGCCAGCTGCGAGCATGGTCGCGCGCCGTGCTTGTCGCCGCGTTTTGATTACGTCATCACAACAACACGTTAGCTTACCAACGTAACCCTGTTCTCTGACATTCGGTGATATTTTTTCGGTGCTAGAACTCTTTCGGCCGAAAGCCGAAAGGGCCTTTTTAACCATTTTCGGCCGATAATTTTCGGCGGCCGAATATTCGGTGCATCCCTAAATATAAGTAAATGGTTAAATAAAAGTGTAACTGCAACTGAAGTAAGATTAACTGAGTAATGTCAGTTACTGCAGCATCATCTATCCAAGGGGTGTCAAACTCAATTTCATTGCGTGCTACATTCGCATAAAGGGTTTATGGGCAACCTGCTTCTGTAAAGTGGCGTGTAACCGTATAATAAACGTATTATATTCTTTGCAAGCTCTTGCGGGGCCACATAAAATGAAGTTGCGGGCCGGATTTGGCCCCCGGGCCTTGAGTTTGAGACCCCTGATCTATCCTGATGTTTAGCAATATTGGCTAACGTTAGCCAACATAAGCCAATCAGGAGCAGTAAGGCTGTAGCAGAATAAGACAAATAATAACTAGCATTGAATTTAAGAACAAAGATGCATTTATTTTTTATGACCTTAACCTTTCATTTGCAGAACAAATAGTAGGGTGTTTATTCAAACGCTGAAAACACCAAAACTACAGTCAAATAACAAAAAGAAAAATCCCAGATTAGTAGGAAAAGGGGGGGTTGTCAGTATCGAAGTTGTAAACATTTGAAATGTTTTAAATAAATGATCAACAAAACATAAGTGTTGATTATGGCATTATAACTTCTCAAAACTGCACAAACATTCCTCATCTCTCATCAGGTGCAGGACTCATATATGCATTTCAAATATTTCAATGAAAAGATGACCAAAGTAAATAAAATATAACAAGAGCCAAAAACGCCCTTGAACTGCTTTGGGTTCAGAGAGTTAAAAGTTAAGGGGTTGAACTGAAGATCAATGTTAAACATCGAGTGAGTGATTTCATGATGTTATGCTAGTGGGCAGCTCTGAAGTGTGGGCATGTCCTTGAGTTGCCCACACAGGTAATATAACACCTTTGTTGTCAGAGTATGCCAACGTGGAATGGTAGGGGTGATGTAAGAACATCTCGGGCTGCCAAGAGTGGTTTACCGCCTCTGCTGTACCATCACACAGCCCGTGGTGTCAGAACACTTCAAATACACAGCTTAGGCTGCATCCTGTGTAAATACTGGAGAGCAGGACGCTGCTCACAGAAGACTAATTATTATTGCTTAACCTATCAAAATATGCTTACAACTCAACTGATGTCACTTTATCCTAGATCTAAGACAATTATATTTTTATTGCATCACAGATATCACTCACTTCCCTTTTTTGGAAAGAAGAATCCTAAATAAGGTAATAACACATTCCCTTAAAGGAGACTTATCATGCTATATTTAAATGATATAGTGTATGACCATACCTATATAAGGTATATTTATACATTTTATTTTTCAAAATACCAAACAGATCATTTTTTAGCCATGCCTCGTTTCGCTCATTTTCGCTCTATTCCAAGCCTGTCTTTGAAAATTCTGAGCAGCAGCTGACCACGCCCCCCTGCTGTTGAGAAAAATGCACATGTATCCCGATAATGGAAATTCCACAAGGTGAACTTTTGTGGGTGTTTTAATTACGATCTGTAAGAACATGCCATGTTGTCCCATCCCTAATTATGAAAAACTGTCAGAAGGTGCTCTGCGGGCTGGAGAGAGAGTCACCGGGGAGGTTGAGTTCAAACTGCGGCCAAAGAAATTCTGGTGTAAGCAGACTCAAGACATCCCCCAGCAGTCTCTGCACTATTTTCACCAATTCTTTAGCGTTTCTAAACATGCAGGAAACGAGGGAGTTCACAAACTTCATCAATCATTCACACTACCGTACACGCTCCGGTAAACTGCAGTAAAACAAAGCATGAGTCCCAGAGCTCCTGCTTCTCAAAGGTTTCGCTATCTTTTTCCTCAAATACCCCCAAGAAGGGCGATACACTTCTTATGCTAATATATGTTTAAAAAAAACAAGTATCGAATGTATGTAGGCCCTTTCTGCATCCAAACAGTTGAATGATGTACATAAAACTACTCAAAGGTTAAATGACTTCTCTTGACCTCCATTATTTAGTTTTTTTAATAACTCTACACTGAAGTAATATAAAGAGTACACACACACACTGATTGAAAACATCCTTACGACCTCGCTTGACTCCGTTTGAGATTCCATTAAATCTGACCGATAAAAGAATTAATGAAGTAGCTATTTTGTTAAACTTGGTTCTCTACTCCTAGTGAGTGAGTGAGTGAGTGAGTGTGTGTGTGTGTGTGTGTGGAATACAAAATCTGAAGCTAGCTGTCTTCCCTCTGGCACATGAACCTGAAAGCCATGTTTTCGGCTTCTAACAGAGTAATTATTCCTGAACTCAGTTATAAATAACTGTCATACTGAAATCATGATTTTAGCCTCAGGGAGATTATAGTTGGAACACGGACGTTTGCATTAGAAATGTCTCAATCAACAATCAATCAACAACGAAACTGAGTATTAATGTTTATCTCATTTGGATCAGCCTCTCTGCTTTCTGTTCACTCTACTAATCGAGTGCTGAGCTATATTTAGTTAGAAACTGGAACTGATAAGGGCCAGTAATCTTGGGACCCTGTGTCAGCCAAGTTTGAATAGATCGAATATTTTAGTTGAGGTTATGGTTGTGGTTTATGTTCTTAAAGGGGCCCCATTACGCTTTCCTGTGTAGAGTGTTATGGTTTGTGTGCATGTAAATGGTCTGCTAATGCAAAAATCCCCTAAACTTGGCCCACTTATGCCTCACTTCGGGTATTCCTGTTTTTATTGTTTGTTGATTTTGGCTGTGTTAATGCATATTGCACACATTTTGGAGGTAGTTTAAAGTTGTTATTTTCTTTTATGTTTAACCTCAGCTCTAAGTCTAGCCAAAATACAGACACAAGATGTCCCCATTTAAACCACAAATGTGGATACCACGGCCATTACAGCATACAACCATGCATTCTATTATATCAGGCTTTCAATGTGGAGTACAAAATAATAGATTGTACTATTTGCTGGCAGATTGACCCACCTCCCATGTTTGTCATGGGCATTGCTATTTTCCTGATAAACAAAAAAGTGGCTAATCATTGACTTAATGTATACCACATTTTTTTTTCTCTAAGTAAAAACAATGGCTATACGTTCTTATACAGGAATTTAAATGATTAGGAAAGTGGAAAATAATTATAATATTTAGTATTTTATAGGAGTGTTTGTCCTATTGAGAGCAGCTGTTCTCAAGTAAGGCACAAGGGTAACAACTTTGGCAACATAGCCATCTAAAAAGATAACCACAGCCCATTTTTACGCTCCTTGTCAACTGCTGAAGCTTAATATTATGAGCAGTGACTGAAAATGTAATGTTTTGGTCATCAAGGTTTGTGCTGACCACAATCGTTCATCAAAAATACGTTTACAGCACAAACGTAGTCATTCTTTGACAGTGGATCACTTTTAAATATCGCAGAGTGTAGTTAAACAGTCAGGAGCAGCCGCAACGAGCAGTTCGGCGAAGATCTGCAGACCTCCAACTTCTCAGCGAGGTTACCAGATTTACTGTGACCCGAGGAAAACTACACACACCCATAGCAAAATGGAAAAAGTCCAATTATTGCCTAACTTCTATCGTAAAACAGTGTGTTTGTGTGGCTGCACTGTAAACACCAGCTGTTCCTCAGATGCATTTGTGAAGAATTACGTTTAACTGTACAAAAAATATATCCTTAAACAACCTTTAGATTTACCAATAAAATACAGGCCCGATTAGCACAGATCTAGCCCATTATTACATTTAATTGTATACACTGTCATTTTAAGAGACTTTTAAATAGCTTCCCCCTTCTGCTGAATTCTTAAATTTCACAAAGGTCATCAGGCTGGGATCTATATAAGATCAACAAAGACTCACTACAGCACACACAAAGCTGGATAAAATAAAGTTGTTCTTTCATCTGTGGTCACTTTTTTTCTCACTATCTGATCCGTTGTGGTCTCCAAGGAAACTAGGCACAAGTTTGTATTCTTCTACTCACTTCCTCTGAGCCTGTGTGGGGTCGAACACTGAGTAACTTGTTTATACGTGTGCTGTCTCTTCATGTGTGTGAAGGGAAAAGGGAAGTCAGGATACAGAGGGGGAATCCCTGGAACCCTGCGGATATGGGGATACCCACGAGGCAGGGGAGACACGTGATGGTGCCATAAGGGGCCCTGGCTGGGGACCAGTCCGAGAATGAGCACAGATGGATAAGCCTGGGTAAATATTCATGTGGGCATTGAAAATCGTGACGCACAAAAACCATAAAACACAGCCAACACGATGCGGGGCAACCACTAATATTGCTATCTCCAGGAAACACCATGGCCAAAAAAAAAAAACGGAAGTTTGATTTGTCTTTGTGTGAGTGTGAATGTGCCGTCTTATCTCGCACCAGAGAGCGGAGAGCAGCAGGCGAGGGAGTGCAGGTGGAAGCAGAAGGTCAATATTTACCAGCGTCAGCCTGCCTCGCTCTCTTTCTGTTCAGGAGGGTTTAGGGGGGCTGCGGTGAGATCACTGCTGCGTGTCCCTCCTGCCAGAGGGAACTCCCTGCCGCTACGCATTAATCACACCGTTATTCAACGTCATCTCGAGGAGTGAGAGAAGCGAGGGGAGGGAGGGCTCCATTTTGAAAATGGCAAAAAATAAAATGGAAGATCAACTAGAAGTCGAGATATTTATTTATTTGCTTTTCTCTCCTGACCGGAGTAAGTCTTGTCAGAACATAACTAATGCAATCTATGCAGTCTGCAGGAAAATCAACTACTGTCATAACTACAGTCACTAAATATGGCCTAGTGTAGAACATAGCATTAACTATTATCCAGGCATTGTCACATTGGACACTGTGAAAGTCGAGTCTCAGCCAATCACAATAAGCCTCTAGGAATACCTAAGCAGGTTTTCATTGAAGTACATTTACTCCAGTACTATACTCAAGTGCATTTTAAGTTCACTTCCCTTGAATATTTATCGTTTCTGCAATTGTTTTACCTTACATCTCAGAGGTAAATATTGTACTTTTAACTCTAGTACAAATATTCAAGCCCCTTACATTGCAGCCACACAAGGACGATAACGGAAACAAACTGAAATCGCTATCAAAAAAGTCTTCCGTCCACACGCAATAGGCACCAGAAACGTGTCAGTCCACACGAGACAGCTCGAACCGATGGAGACGCTGTAGTACATATGCCGGCCTGTAAGTGGCGCAGCGAAGAAGACTTCTCGCGCATGCATGGTTGCCCTTCTGTTTATTCTCTGCGCTGGATTAGGCAGCAGAGGTGGGCCTTCGCTGGTCAACATGTCCGTTAAAGTTGAAATCTTCCGGACAAAATTCGAAAAGTGCCGGTCAAAGGTCTTCTTTGTTATTTATTGAGCTTTAAAACATTAACGCGTTTACTTGACAGCCCTTATAATAATATAAGAATAATAAACGGAGGACAGAGCCTCTCTTTTCCTCCCCCTCTCCTGACAGCCATGCAGCTGACTGATCGAGTAATGAGTGACCCGACAGTAAAAATAAACATATTTATAACTAGTTATGTAGTTTGAGAGGTAATTAAAATAGCTAAGGGTGATGATCTAACTTGAAGTGTGTGTTTTGTTCCTCTCATCGCTCCATCACAGCGGGCGGAGCTGCAGGTTATCATGCAGAGCTGCGTGTCTCCTCTCCTGTCCAATTAGACTTCACTCGCGTTTACGTCCATATCGATCAAATCTAACTGGAAGCTCCTGCTGGTTACGCTGTCCTGCGAGATACCGGTACCTGGCTCCAAACACTGGGGCTATTGCGTCATCGTTAGCAGGAAATGATCGTTATAGGGCGTAGACACGCCGTTTGGCCCCCCAGAGCGTTTCGTTTGCCTTGGGACCCGTTATCGTTATCTGCGTTTCCCTGTCGGCCTCGTGTGGCCGAACTGTCTATCTGATAGAGAACTGTAGCGGATACGACCGTTATCGTCCTCGTGTGGCTGCAGCTTTAGTTGCATTACTGATATAAATAATGTTATCAACACAAAAAAGATGATCTATCAATATAGATGAAGAAAATATGAAACTTTGGTCCTGAGGAATAAGGATCTGACATTGAACAGGTGTTACTGCTTTACGTCTCAGGTTTGTCATATGCATAATACCTTAGTGATGACCTTTTTTGACCTTTCTGTGTTATGATCACTATTATGCTTAGGAATGATAATTGTTTTCTGCACATATACTGTATTCCCAGACATAAAATAACTAATGGAATTATTTCACTGTGACAGCTGGCTTCAGAATGTTTTTTATAATGGTGAGGGATGTAAAAAAAGAATATTACTTTCAATTATTTCTTAATTATTCGTCTTTGAATCAAATAAATTACTTTTGAACATTTCTAGGACTTCACATTATTTCCTAGGACATTATTATATTCCTTTAGACAGCAGCTGTTCGTCAAATGTATGGCACATAAAGCTGTGGCTGTTCCGATCAACAGCATTTTGGATCGAAGCGCAATGATTATTTATCAGGTCCCAAATGTCCAGATTCTAATAGTAATAATTCCCCTTTTGGTCATCTAGTATCAATCACATTTCATTTATATAGCCCAATATCACAATTTAAACTCATTGCATGACACCCTTTTTAGTAAGCTCAAAATTGTTTAAATTGGGGCTGATATTGCAATTGCGAGATAATGTGTGATATTGGAGGGAATGATAGTTTTCAAAAACATGATCTAGGTGTGATTTCTTTAAGAGAATCTTTACCAAACAACATTTATTTTCTCTGTAGAATACCGTTTGCTTTAAGGTAGAGAGGTGTGTGTGTGTGTGTGTGTTTAGACCTAGAGCCCTGAACAGGAGCCAAGACAAACAGCAGTGCTGGCATTTACTCTGTGCTCGGAGCAAAGATGGCTTGCAAACACACAGATGCACATACTAAAAGACAAAGAAAAGGGTGAGGCTATGTGCTGCAGAAGTACTCATGAATACTTTTGGATAAGATCTTTCCATGCTTGTCTCATGTAATTATATTTACACTATGTATACAGTACACTGAAACCTACCTACAGTTCAGGATATGGATGGCTATAATGTATTTATTCAGCCCATGTGACATGTTGGAAAACCTTGTGTGTGTGTGTGTGTGTGTGTGTGTGTGTGTGTGTGTGTGTGTGTGTGTGTGTGTGTGTGTGTGTGTGTGTGTGTGTGTTAGACTGTAATGCTGCTGGGTCATGCCAGACTGTACTAGACCAGCAGTTATCTCAAAGCTGCCACACAGAGGTTAACATTACAACAGCACAAGGATTTTCCATCCATGAGAAAAAAAAGGAAAAACACACACGGGGAAAAAAAGAGAAATCTCAAAGACGAAAAATAAAAATCAATAATAAACAGCAAACCCTTGTTGAATTAACCTCTAACACTTTTTCAACAAAGAATTCAGAGGAACATTTTTGTAAATGTCATTCAACGGCAGGAAGTGAAAATAAAATACTTAGAATTGAGTTTCTGCTACAATTCAGCCGTTAAGGAACACTTCACCCAGGAAATGGCCATTTGCATATCAAATACTCAGGGGCTGAATTTAACTGTAGCAGAACTAAATATCTGTTAATAAACTCTCACACAACTTATGCACATAATACAAGTCTCATGAATTAGGTTATATTCTCAATACTTCCGAAACACTAGCACACTTTTAGCCTTGTTGTTAAAACCTTACTATTTAATCTCTAAAATCTGATTGCTGAATGACAAAGTCAACAATCTGTTTACCAACCATGTCGTGTTGGCTTGACAGACGGGGGCTAAATTACACTTTATATTAAGCTAACTGGCATGGCCTATACACAGAATTTCCTTGACCCTATTGATACCGAATCACAAAATTACATTTTCCTATGATATTCCTAAATCTTCTGGTTTCTTTTTGTGGTCATTTGGACGGATTCTTAAAATATTTGAATGAAAATGTGTGTTCTAGGGATAGTACACGACTTATTGTCTCTGTCTTTGTTCACCATGGAAGCTCCCCAACAGGTTTCTTCAAGAATGTTAAGTAACACGGGGTCAGTTATTGATATACAAAATATATTTATATAAAAAGTAGAACTATTCCTTTAACTGTATAATCAGCAGTCAAATCAAAGCCTTGCCACTCACTTTGCAGACAGACATCTGGTTGGTGGTGAGGGTCCCCGTCTTGTCGGAGCAGATAACAGAGGTACAGCCCAGGGTCTCTACTGACGGCAGGCTGCGGACGATGGCGTTCTTCTTGGCCATGCGACGCGTTCCGAGGGCCAGGCAGGTGGTGATGACAGCAGGCAGGCCCTCGGGGATGGCGGCCACAGCCAGGGCCACGGCAATCTTGAAATAATAGATGGCCCCTCTGACCCAAGAGCCCCCGTGGACGGGGTCCCCGAAGTGGCCGATGTTGATGACCCACACAGCCACACAGATCAGGGAGATGACCTTTGAGAGCTGCTGCCCGAACTCGTCCAGCTTCTGCTGCAGAGGCGTCTTCTCATGCTCCGTAGCTGCCATCTGGTTACGGATTTTACCGATTTCTGTGGAAACGCCGGTGGCGATGACCACGCCTATAGCGCGGCCTGCAGCTATGTTTGTGCCCTGCAGGAATAAAAGATCATAAGGTGCAAAAAAGTGAGGCAGAAAGATGCAGTCTATATAAAAACATATTTATGTAAAAATACACTTCAGTTGTCACGCACCTTCAAGAAATGTTTTTAAGCCGTCCTCAGACATTTATCCATATTTCACAAGACACATATTTTTCATTACAGTCGGACTTAACTTAGTCAATGTTAATTAAAATGCAAAGGAACAACTCTTTGGGAAACCTACTTTCATCATTACAATCAACATCTACATTCTGGTTATTAAAAAAACATTTAAAAAAGGACTTTCGTTTGCAAAAATGTATTAAAAAAAATGTGATACATTTGTAATGCACCTCCACATACAGTATGTCAATTGTACAATTCTGTAAATGTGGATTTACTGTTAAGGATTTTTTTTGATCTATTTTATGGTTTCTTATTTCTTCTTCATAATGTTCTTACATTTGTGAATAAAATAATTTCAAGTTATTACTCAGAACATAAGAGAAGAGAGTTTCAATTAAAATAGAAAGAATTTAAAATTGATATTTAGTTGCCTTTAGATCACCAGAGAAGTCAAATAAGAATTACAGTCACTAGATTCAATAAGATACACATGACTCAGTGAGCTGCAGGCAGGTGCTTACAGAAAACAGCATGTTCTTTTTGTCCTGGTTGACGGCTCTGGGGTCAGGAACAGGGTCAGTGTGTTTGATGATGGACACAGACTCCCCTGAAAGAAACAGGGTATGAGATAATTGTACCGGGTTAGATATATGTGCAACAGGTGACTATTAGACCAACAATGGGATGTTCAGAGGGAAATTGAACACAGTTACACTTACAGCCTAAAGGGGTAGCAAGTAATATCACAAAGAAAATCACAGACACTGAAATTACACAATGTTAACCTTCAGTCGTCCAAGTCCATGCAATAAAGGTGTAAGGGAGTATACTCCGTCTGAATTATGTGAAAGCCTTGTTTGGAGTCTGATGAAGGTTAGGAAATACCTGTGAGGATGGACTGGTCCACTCGCAGGGTGGTAGACTTTATAGAGGTCACTCTGATGTCAGCAGGCACCTTGTCACCAACTAGAAATAAACATAATAATTATATTTCATTATTGTATCCTATTAGATCAGGGGTGGGGAACCTTTTTCCTCTCAAGGGCTAGGGCTGCTCGATTATGGCAAAAATCATAATCTCGATTATTTGGGTCAATAATTGATATCACGATTATTAAAAACAATTATCCATTTACTTTGAAAACATCCATTAATTGAAAAAATAAATTTGAATAGTATGTTTTTAACAGTTGATTACCCTGAACTTTAAGTAGGTATAATTCAACTGAAAAACCAATAAAAAAATAAATAATAATAATCGTTTTATTTCGATTGTGTTGTTTTAATAATCGTTGCAAGCCAAAATCGTAATTGCGATTAACATACGATTAATTGAGCAGCCCTATCAAGGGCCATTTCAATTTTCACAACATCCTCCGAGGGCCGTACAAATGATTGAACTCAACCTCTGCTTAAAAATACTAAAATCACAGCCCATTAATTTGGCCTTTCTTTCATGCTGTGCAAAGAAAAAGCAACTTCTTAATCCAGATATTTTACCATGACTGTCGCATCGATCAGAACAACACAAGATGTGTGTACATTATTAGTATCCTAATCCATGGTGAACATGATTTAAGTGGGGTGGGGGTCTCACTCCCTCTCCTCTAAAAGAATTTTTTTTTTGTGTGGCACAATTGTGTGGGCCTATTTTGTCCCTAGAACCCGGTGTCTTTTAACCTGTCAAACAACTCTCCACAGAGGGCAAGGGGCAAGTACATCTGTTTTTATGGCGCTGCTTTTGAAACGAACCCCATGATTTTTCTTTATAGTGCTAGAGTCTTGAAAAAATGTCGGGAGCTTGTTACCCAGTCATTTGGAACGGTATGATTGGGAGTGTGTGCACTGATATGGTACAACTGTGGGGTTATTCTGCTACTGTTACCTTGGTCGTGAGTGCTCATCTTTTTTGGTTTAGTAGGAAATGTCTCATAGAGTGTGATGTCTCTTTTTGAAGGCTATACGTTTCTTGTGAGAATCGCTATTCTCATGTGTCTTCTTGACATCGTATTCACCGCCATGTGAAATAGAAAATAATATTGGCAAAGATCCCTTTTGTTGTATGGGCAAAAAAAAAAAAAAATTTCTTTTTCTTCTTAGCTGTAGATTTCC